TAATTCTCCATCTTAAAATATAAGGAAAAGTTATAAACCTACAAGAGAGTATCACTTCAAAAATTAAGGAAATCACTGGCTCTTGTGTTGGATTGGGAAAATTATCATTTTGATGGTAGATGCATTTCTCAATATGGAAAGATATTAATTTTCAATTTTATAAAGGTTTTCTAAACTAATACTTAAAATTGAACTTGTACATATCTTTGCTTTACCTTTACCATGCCTGAAATAATTATATAGATTCCTTCGGCCTCATCCCCTTCTTCAAATATATCATTTCCACAATCGTAAGTTAAAATTTTGGCTTTTTCCTAAAAAATGACACCAAATATATCACTTATAAACAATACACTGCTGGTGATGGTGAATTTTTTAATGGATTTTACTTTTCAAGTATATAACCAATAATATCTAAAATATTTTGTTGGTAATAAATTTGTAAGACATCTTTCTTTGGAGGAGGAGAAGGGAAATGCTGAAACAAGGATGCAAGTTGATCCATTGTAACAGTGACACATACAAGGCGCTATGTTGAAAACAAACTGTATGACTGGGGGGAGGAAGGAGTTGGGGAAGTGGGGAGGAAAGAGTTAGTAGGGGAAAAACAAAAGAGGGGGTAACAATGCTCATTACCTTACTCATGTAACTGTAACCCTTCTGTATAGTATTTTTGCAATGAAAATATTTTAAAAAATTGTAAGAGAAAGTAGGAATTATGAATAGAATAGAGAGGAAGTGTGTGTTCATAGTAAATTTCAGATGGAGTGTTTGTGCATGGGTGAGGGAAGGTGGGCTCTAGGTACAAAAATGTAATGGCAGCGTTCATGTTTTGTTTTGTTTTTTAATTTGGCTAATGGCACATATATGTCACATATCCTCCTACTCAAAATAGATAAATCTAGTAAATATAAACCATTCATTATAAGTATTTGGTGGAGAAATATAATTGGTCTTTTGGTACCAAATAGACGAAGACAAATGATACTGTTAAAACAAATTAGCCTGGGTACTGGTGGCTCATACCTATAATCCTAGCTACCCAGGATGCTGAGACCTGAGGATTGCAGTTTAAAGCTAACCCAGGCAAGAAAAAAGACAGTCCATGAGACTCTCATCTCCAATTAAGGACCAAAATTCTAGAAGTAGAGCTGTGGCTCAAATGGTAGAGTGCTAGCTGTGAGCAAAAACACTGAAGCACAGTATGCTGGCCCTGCAGTCAAGCCTGAGTACCAGCACCAAACAAACAAACATCAATCCCCCCCCCCAAAAAAACATCCTGAAGTTACACTTCTTTACTGTCCATTCCACCAACATTTATTGAGTACTTATAATGCATTATCCAAAATGACAAGAGCTGAGTATTCAAAAGTTTGAATGAGCTAGAACATCTAGTAGTTGCCAAAAGTTGGTAAAAGTAATGGCAATATAGTGTAGTTGAGCTATAATAAAAGCAGGTGTTTCATACAACAATGGCAGATTTGGTCTGCCAAGCTCAAGATGGACACAGGCTAGCAGGTGGTGAGAAGACAGGCCACACCACCTCGAGGGACTCTAGAGGAGGGGAACACTTGCTCAGAGGAACTGAAAGCAGGAAACCGCAAAAGAAGTGGAGCCAGGAAGCCTTTTAAGAAAAGTAAATAGAACTTGCAGATGGATGGCATTAGAAACCAGCAGCATGAATGATTGAGTAGAGACAGGTACCTGGGTAAATGAGAAACAGAAAAGGAGGGGGGAGAGGTGGCAGGAAGAGGCTGGGGAGGGGTTTTCCATGTTGTTCAAAGGATTTTTTTTTCTATAACGAGCCAAGTACAGTTAGAGAGATTTTAACACACAGATATTATGGTTAAATCCTTAGGTTAAAAATTATATATTGTTGAGTCTGGGAAGGTGGCTCAGTGGTAGAGCGCTTGCCTTGCATGCATGAGGCCCTGGGTTCGATTCCTCAGTACCACATAAGCAAATAGAAAAAAAAAAGCTGGACGTGGCGCTGTGGCTCAAGTGGTAGAGCACTAGGCTTGAGCTGAAGAGCTGAAGGAAAGCGCCCAGGCCCAGAGTTCAGGCCCCATGACCGGACCCCCAAAAATTATATATTGTTATTGTAAAGGTGATGTACAGAGGGATTATAGTTATGTAAGTCAGTTTCTCCTTTCTGTCCCCACCCAAGATTCTAACTTTTTCAAGACTATTTTTGGGTTGATTGAAGATGATACGGTCAGAAAATAAAAAGTCTTACCTGAATAAATTGACTACACTTGTCATCTTTAGCAAGCCATGGAATATGATACAAAGTTTCATCAATGGGTGGAGAGCTGACAATAGATTGAAAATCAAGCACCTCTCTTTTTTTGGCCATGATTAGCTACAAATTACAAAATTGAAGAAAGAAACTGAACTTAATTGCTGTTCACAGGATGTCAGAAAATAAATCAAAGCTTTATAACTATACTGTATTAATTAACTGTTGTCTCCTGTGACGCAACTCCCGAGAGGCTCAACTAAGAGGACCAAACATTTATTTTGACTCATGGTTCCTGAGGTTTCAGCCCATAAATACTTGGCTCTGTTATTTCTGGGACATGGCAGGGAGCATGTGGGGGAGCTGATCTCTCATGTCAGGGCTTAGGGAAGCAGAAAGAGAAGAAAGAAGAGAAAGAAGCCAGGGTCCTAGTCCATTGAAAGGCACACCCACAATGATTACTTCCCTCAATCTCCTTCTGACTCTTATACTGTAAACTGCAGATTACTTTTAATATCCCAAAGTTACCATACTTTAATTTGAATTTCTACAAGCTTAATTTCCAAAAATATATGAAATCCCATTCTTTCAAGTGCTCAAGCACTCAACCTCTTCAACTGTTAATGTCACAAGATTCAATCTCTATACATTATGTAACCCAAACTCTAAAGTAGTACTTTTAATACAGTGGTCTCCTGAATTACATAAAAAACAAAATGAGAAGTTTGAACTAAAATTACAACCATCCTTGTCTCTTAAATTGTTGGGAAAACAAATGCTGGAACTTTACATCAATTCTACAAGAATGTTTATTGTTACTGAGATCTAC